GTTTGATAAGTTTTGTTAATTGTGGAGTTTGTTACTTCTACGTTTGAAAAGTTTTGTTACTTGTGGAGTTTACTTCACTTTACATTTGGGAATTGTTACTTTTCTGTAGTTTATTACTTTTAGGATAATTTTATGATAATTTTGTCAAGTTACTTTTGTTATATTATAGTGGTCACTGTTTGTGGTAATGTTAGTAAATGGATGTTTTTTAAATAAACGCTACTTAACATTTGTGGTTATGAAGGACAGACCTAACCAAACAAACCTACCTAACCTAACTTCCCCGGTATATTAAACAGAAAAAACTTACTATACGGTGATATTTGAGACATTTTCTGGACGTGAGATGATACAGCAGCATCGGCACTATGGCGGGTTAGTCCTATATATTAACCAAGGTGGGATTTTGGGTCATATTTATTTTGGGAAAGATTTTTTTCTTTAATTGAAGTAAAAAAATTTGGTTATAAGAATGTGGTACTTTTTATTTGTGGTTAAATTACAGTTTGTAGTAAAATATTAGCTTTTGAGACATTTTGGGAACTTTACTGTAAAGTTGCAGTTTATTTTTTGACAAGAAATTTACATTTTTGTCACTGTATTTGGTGGGATCCTAACCTAGCCAAATCGTGTGTCCGATGGTGAGGTTTTAATTCTCGGGGAAAATAACAATTTGGTGGTATTCAAACCTAACCTAACCAAATCATGTCTTCGATGGTATTTTAATTCTCTGGGAAAGGAAAAATCGCAAGACGCTTCACAATGTCGGCATTTATAGATTAGTAAACCCTTATGGCAGTGGGATATAACTTGTGAATTTACCAGGTGTTATCCATTAGTGACTAGTAAGTGGTATTAAGAAAGTTGTTGACCAGAGTTAACTTGTGGTCCTTGTGCAGCTCTTCACAGTCTGCTTGGTTCCTGATTTCCCGAAATAACTTGGCGTCATCGACAAACATTTGTATGGAGGAGTGTACAACGTCAGGCATGTCATTATGAAACAAACAAACAACAGCGGGCCCAATACACTGCCCTGTGGTACCCCGCTTGTGACGGGTACGGATGACGATTTTGTACCAGTAATCACCACACACTGCTTGCGGTCATGTAGAAAGTCTTCTATCCACGCTAGGACATTTCCTCGAATTCTGTACCCTTCCAGTTTGATTTTCAGTCTTTCCTGGAGTACACTGTCGAAAGCCTTGGCAAAATCTAGGTAAATATTGTCGATATTACCACCTGTTCCAGAATATGGGGCCAAATATCCAGTACCTTGAGCAATTGTGTTAAGCACGAGCGCCCCGGCATAAAACCGTGTTGGCAATCTTTTACAAGGTTGTTTCGTCTCCAACATGTTGGAACAAAAAATTATCTGAGTTTCTACAAAAAGAGTAACAGTGTTATTTTGTTTACAGTTTACTGCTGCAATTGGTTGTTACTGTAGTGTTAAGACAACTACCATATTGCTGCCTCGCTGATCGTGGTTAATTAAGTTCCTCATGTCATTCGTCGAGGTAAGATTTTCTAAAGTGTTTCATTATTCTCTTTAAAAAGTTTTATGGAATTTCTTAATTTAACCATAATATTGTATTTAAATGTTTGAAGATTTAATGAGTTCCTGTATAATATAATACTGTACACTACTGTATACATATTATATAATATTACTGCCCAGAGTATTTAAATTATTAGTTGTCAAAATGTTATTCATTCTAGGACGGTGACGTGAACATGTAAGATATGGGCCACACGACGAAGGTTTGTTTTGGTTAACGGGTCTCTTGCTGCGCCACATTGGAAGCTCTCTGCTATAACATAAGGTACAGTACAGTGTATATCTTTGTGGTTTTAGTTTTTATTAAGGATCTGGGATCACCGTTTAAAAATTCAAGTAATTGTGTTAAAGACCTTTGAAATAATTAGATATTTTAAGTAGATTACGCTGTGCCCGTAAGTTTTAAAAGCCTTTATGGATGGTCTTAAATATGTTGACCATCTTTACTGGATGAAGTTAGTTTCACGTAAAAATATTTGTCAAATATGCCTGACCTAATACCTTTGTCTTCAGCACTTGGGGGTAGAAAAATAGTTTAAATATCCTACAAAGGTACAGGGTACTACTTTACCTGATTTTATATCTAGGTTCACAAATTAGTTATTGTGTTAATGACTTTTTGAAACAATTAGATATTTAAAGTAGATTACTTAGGCTTTGCCCGTATATTTTAAAAGGCCTTCATATACGTTTTAAAAATAATATGGACTACAGTGAGTTCTGCTGTAACGAGTGTTTTGACAACTCGAATTGGCTCTAACGCGATTTATGAATAAAAGAACCATATTTGTATTACGCGAACACTTGTTTGCTCTAACGCGATTTTTGCTTACTATTTCTCCAATTTTGTGGTATTAACTGTGAATATGGTAAAGAAGAATATCTCCAAGAAGCGTTCTGGTGATCGCATTCCTGGTGATGATCGTAAAAGAAAGGCTATAACACTTGAAGAGAAGCTCGATGTTATCAACCTCAAAATCACCCTTATCGCCCATCAAGTTATATTCAGATTTTTTCAAGGTAAAGTGTAACATTTACTGTATGATTTCATTATTAGATATGAAGGTAACATTTAATTAGACTGTGCTATCCTTTGTGTTAGGCTAACTACTAAATTTTTTTCGATTTCGAGTAATCTGCACCTAACCCTATTTTCTCCATAAGCCCTGTTATTTCTATTTCGCAATTTTCTATAACACGATGTTTAACAAGAATGCAACTAACGCGTTATAGCAGAACTGACTGTATTGGGGTATCGACTGCATGGAAAAGCCAGGAAACTTTCAAACAAATGGGGTATTTTATTTGGGTTAAGTTATACTTAAATATAGTTTTTTTGGCATCAATCTTGGCATAAATTAATGCTGTACTGTATAATAGGTAAATAATTATTGTACTTCTAGGAACATTCAACAACAATAATGATGATAGTTCAAGTTAGTGATCTAATATTACAGGTCATACCTACTGCCGTGAGTATTGTTCAGTGAATTGTTCTTATAATGGACTTGTTCCACATTAATAAAGGTTCATATAGGTGGATAATGGAGTGTTGACCCACGTCAGGTTAAGGTTGTCACCAGGGAGGGTCGCTAAAATATCTTCAATGGTCCCTCCATTAACCGACACAATTGGTTCCACGGAGTCGTTCGTTAACTGAATCTATATACTGTAGTGTTATATATTAATAAAATATTAATAAATAAACTTAAAATAGTTCAACACAAAATGCTATTGTTTAAATTTATTTTAGTAAAGTTGTAAATGTTGTCAAGCTATTCGGTTCTCCAGCCATTGTCTTAAGTTTAGTTTAATATTAATATATATCTATTAGCGGGAATTTAATCAATAATAAAACATTATAATGAAAGTATAATTTATTTGTATTATGTAATATTTATTAATAAAATACTTTTATTATAGTGTTAATAATGAAAACTTGTAGCTACTGAAAGATAAGAGAGAGAATCGGACAAGGTGTAGCAAGTCAACATCAACCAAGGTGGCCGTCTTGTTTATTGTTGTTAATTTTGTGAGTAAATGTTAATTTGTGGGCCTTCCTCCCTCCCTTGTGGTAAACGTAATAAATGTTTTATGTTATGTCGATGATATAAACAGACATTAGAATGTTTGAGTTAAAGGTTGGTTATCCGAGATGGTCCGAGTTGGTATTTGATGGGCCGAGTTGGAGGCACATCGGTTACACTGTAATAACCCATTATAGTACATCCTTCTTTACTCACACAGCCAAACTGTGTCTGTGTGGATGTGGGGCACACTATAATAACCCATTATAGTACATCCTTCTTTATTCACACAGCCAAACTGTGTCTGTGTGGATGTGGGTCACACTATAATAACCCGTTATAGTACATCCTTCTTTACTCACACAGCCAAACTGTGTCTGTGTGGATGTTGGTCACACTATAATAACCCGTTATAGTGCATCCTTCTTTACTCACACAGCCAAACTGTCTGTGTGGGTCACACTATAATAACCCGTTATAGTACATCCTTCTTTCCTCACACTGTTGAATGCTCTGCCTTCTTCTGTGTTTCCATACTCATACAATCTGTCTCACTTCAAAAAGCTGGTTTTCCGGCATCTTCGCGGTGTACATTAATATAACATTTTTTATTATATATTTTTTATTTTATTTTTACTGTTATTTTACACAAATTGATTTAGTCACTCGTAGTTTTCATTTATAAACTGTACTTTTATAAGAATATTATCTAAGGCAAAATATTTTGTTTCAGATATTGTGATGTCACATCTCAAGACCAAGTGTAACTAAGTAGAAGTTCACAATGTCATGCAGAGATAAAAAGTTCTCCTGTGAGGAATGTGGCAAACAGTTTGGTTTCAAGTCTACTCTTCAGAAACATTTACTTGTACACAATGGTGTGAAGGAGTTTGAATGTGAGGAATGTGGTAAATGTTTCTCCCAGAAAAGTACTCTCGAGACACACATTCTTGTACACAATGGTGTGAAGAAGTTTGAATGTGAGGAATGTGGGAAATGTTTCTCCCAGAAGGGTAATCTCAAGACACACATTCTTGTACACAATGGTGTGAAGGAGTTTGAATGTGAGGAATGTGGGAAATGTTTCTCCCAGAAAAGTACTCTCGAGACACACATTCTTGTACACAATGGTGTGAAGGAGTTTGAATGTGAGGAATGTGGGAAATGTTTCTCCCAGAAGAGTACTCTCAAGACACACATTCTTGTACACAATGGTGTGAAGGAGTTTGAATGTGAGGAATGTGGGAAATGTTTCTTCCGGAAGAGTATTCTCAAGACACACATTCTTGGACACAGTGGTATAAAGGAGTTTGAATGTGAGGAATGTGGGAAATGTTTCTCCCACAAGAGTACTCTCAAGACACACATTCTTGGACACAGTGGTATAAAGGAGTTTGAATGTGAGGAATGTGGGAAATGTTTCTCCCACAAGAGCACTCTCAAGACACACATTCTTGGACACAGTGGTCTGAAGGAGTTTGAATGTGAGGAATGTGGGAAATGTTTCTCCCACAGCCGTAATCTCAAACTTCATAAACTTGTGCATGAAAAAAACAGAATTCAAGAAATGTTTGAATGACTTTACCAGAAGGTAAATGTGACACACAAACTTGAATACAGTGATATACATCAATATAAAACCACTTGAACAAACTCTATGAATGTTGCAGAAATAAAGACAAGTGACAAATGCCACTTTTATAGATATTAAACACAAGTTATCTGCTCTTAAGATGTAAATTACTTCTACCTTGGCCTTAGTGTAGACATTTGGTGTTGGTTAAATATCACTCATAATAATACTCCATTTTGTTTCATCAGCCTTTTTAATAATGTTATTTACAGTACAGTAGTGAACAAAGGTTAAACTTATCGTCTATGGGCTTAAAATTTCATCTTTACTGGATAAGTTGTGTTGAACAGAGATGAACTCTCATTTACTATAATTTGTGCATCAATAGTTGTGTCAACTGTGTACGTCTGTCTTTATTTACACGCGACGTAAGTTTTATCACAAGTACGTACATTAACGCAGGTAGTAAATCATCTTGGTAAAGTAGTACAGTGGTGGTAGACCATTTGTTATAGTCAAGGTGTTGTCATTATCTCACGGAAACTCTTCAATCTCTGTTGAAATTGTACGTAAATATTTGATAAGTTTTGCTCAACTCTGACGAGATATTTTGATATTTTATCTTGACTAAAATGGTTGGTAGTTTTGATTCATGTTTTAAATATATTCTTTCATCACTTACAGATATATGGTACCATTGTCTGGTAAATAATGGTTAGGGTTCATATATAGTAGCTGGTGTTATGGGGCAGATGAACTTTAACACCTCTTAACTGTATATAATATCATGTTTAATATATTGTTCAGTTAGCATCTTGTGCCTTAGTTAGGTAACTCTTCTTGGTTACATATCAATTCATCCTTGGGCAGTCATTTTCTTAAAGTAGCCAATGCTGAAATGCCAAACTCTGGGTTAAAATTTGTTTTTTGATCATGTTAAGCAGAAGACTTGGTTAAATTAACATAGAGCATTTAGATATTTGCTGTTCTTATATACAACTTTTCCTCATAGTACTGGCATGTGTTTATCCAACAATGGTATTTAAAAAAATGATTGCTACAAGAATGGCATTAATTTTGTGGACATGAATATAGAATTTTATTTAAATACTGTGTACTACATACATTAGTACAGGTCCCTATAATCTTTTGCGACTCTTATTACAGCTGCATAACGTTCACAATCACTGCACTAAGGGAGTATCTAAGTTTTTTATTGGGTAGTGTCACAGTAAACACTCTCAAGGGGTAATTTGTATTTTGTATTATACCAGTGTCTGTGTATATAATGTTAAGTGTGTATACTGATAGTATTAAGGGAGAACTCAAGGTACTGTTGTATGTTGTATTATACCAGTGTCTGTGTATATAATGTTAAGTGTGTGTAATGATAGTATTAAGGGAGAACTCAAGGTACTGTTGTGTGTTGTATTATACCAGTGTCTGTGTATATAATGTTAAGTGTGTGTACTGATAGTATTAAGGGTGAACTCAAGGTACTGTTGTATGTTGTATTATACCAGTGTCTGTGTATATAATGTTAAGTGTGTACTGATAGTATTAAGGGAGAACTCAAGGTACTGTTGTATGTTGTATTATACCAGTGTATATAATGTTAAGTGTGTGTACTGATAGTATTAAGGGAGGACTCAAGGTACTGTTGTATGTTGTATTACACCAGTGTCTGTGTATATAATGTTAAGTGTGTGTACTGATAGTATTAAGGGAGAACTCAAGGTACTGTTGTATGTTGTATTATACCAGTGTCTGTGTATATAATGTTAAGTGTGTGTACTGATAGTATTAAGGGAGGACTCAAGGTACTGTTGTATGTTGTATTATACCAGTGTCTGTGTATATAATGTTAAGTGTGTGTACTGATAGTATTAAGGGAGAACTCAAGGTACTGTTGTATGTTGTATTATACCAGTGTCTGTGTATATAATGTTAAGTGTGTGTACTGATAGTATTAAGGGAGAACTCAAGGTACTGTTGTATGTTGTATTATACCAGTGTCTGTGTATATAATGTTAAGTGTGTGTACTGATAGTATTAAGGGAGGACTCAAGGTACTGTTGTATGTTGTATTATACCAGTGTCTGTGTATATAATGTTAAGTGTGTGTACTGATAGTATTAAGGTCAGTTATTTTGTATGGAGAAGAGACCTTCATTTATGGGAGAAGGTCAGTTATGTTTGTGTGGTGCTGTGACCTTAATTCCTTGGGAAGGTCAACTATTTTTGTATTATCACAGAGTGCAGTATTTTAATTATGTCTAAAATAATTACACTGCTAGACTAAACTCACACTGGTAGACTAATCTGACACTGCTGGACCAAACTCACACTGCTAGACTAAACTTACAGTGCTAGACTAAACTCACACTGCTAGCCAAACTTACACTGCTAGACTAAACTCACACTGCTAGACTAAACTCACACTGCTAGACTAATCTGACACTGCTGGACCAAACTCTCACTGCTAGACTTCTTTTCCAGCTCCCCAAAGAACAACTACACATACTGTCCTGTGGTCTGGTGGCAGCGACCCTAAGTTAAGAAGTAAACCCTAGTATTAATTGACCAATTAAAGGGCAGTATAACTGTATACACTTGGCCATGATGTTCCCCAAACATAAATATCTTACAGAATGAGATATAAGTATTTAAACTATTGCTGAATACTTTATTACAACCCCAATATTGTGGAACATGTGTACAACAGGACATGATAGTGAGAGGTATTCAAACACTCTTCTCAGGTGTGTCTCAGGCCAACAGGACATGATAGTGAGAGGTATTCAAACACTCTTCTCAGGTGTGTCTGAGGCCAACAGGACATGATAGTGAGAGGTACTCAAACCCTTCTCAGGTGTGTCTCAGGCCAACAGGACATGATAGTGAGAAGTACTCAAACACTCTTCTCTTGTGTGTCTCAGGCCAACAGGACATGATAGTGAAAGGTACTCAAACACCCTTCTCAGGTGTGTCTCAGGCCAACAGGACATGATAGTGAGAGGTACTCAAAACACCCTTCTCAGCTGTGTCTCAGGCCAACAGGACATGATAGTGAGAGGTACTCAAATACCCTTGTGAGGTGTGTCTCAGACCAACAGGACATGATAGTGAGAGGTACTCAAACACCCTTCTCAGGTGGGTCTCAGGCCAACAGGACATGATAGTGAGAGGTATTCAAACACTCTTCTCAGGTGTGTCTCAGGCCAACAGGACATGATAGTGAGAGGTACTCAAACACCCTTCTGAGGTGTGTCTCAGACCAACAGGACATGATAGTGAGAGGTACTCAA